GGAGTGTGAGCAACTCTACAAAGGTCCCATGTGAGCTGACTGCCCAGAGAAGCTAGAAAGGAAAAAGTACAGCTGGCCAAAAGAAACTCGTGCTAGAGCACATAAGGGTGAAACAATCAGCATGTAGCATAGAGAATGAATTACATTAGGGATTGTGGTGTAAAATACCTAGATTCTACTTGGAGATGAGAACAAAGACATGGCAAATAAAGTCAAAAGGAGAAAACTGAAAACAGCTCTCTGCCACAGTTGATCTGCTATATCCTTCTCTTTACATCAGGAGTTGGCATCTGCCCAGGAAACTTAGTATCAGGTTCAACTGTTCTTTTCGTTTTGTCATGTTTTGTTTTGTTTTCTTTGATCAGATTCAATTTGTATCTATACATGGTCTTACTGCTCCTGTAACAGACTGAAAGGCCTATTGTAAATAATTAGCATAGTAATTTACATGGAAGCATTGCACATACCATTTTTTTTTTAAAGATTTTATTTATTTATTTGACAGAGAGATAGCACAAGTAGGCAGAGAGGCAGGCAGAAGGAGAGGAAGAAGCAGGCTCTCCGCTGAGCAGGGACCCGGAAGGGGGGCTCGATCCCAGGACCCTGGGATCATGACCTGAGCCGAAGGCAGCTGCTTAACCCACTGAGCCACCCGGGAGCCCCATCACCTACCATTTTTAAACACCTATGAGAACATATACATCTGCCTTGGTACCCAGGGACATATCCATTATTATCACTAATTATTATTATCAATCATTATTCTTAATCTATTAAGACAATGCAAAGGTATCCGAGCTAAAACTAAAGATCAGAGCTATATCATTGTCTGAGGGGAGGCAAACAGCCAGGGCTCAAACCCCAACACTAACGATTAATTAATTGACCGATCTTACTAAGCTTTAGTTTCCTCATCCATAAAATAAGGATGATGTATTATCTCACGGGATTGTTACAGTGGTAAAGTGAGAAGATACATGTGTATCAGTAAGTGTCCACAAGGAAAAAAAAATGCCTCTGGGTATTTAAAACAAAGGAAATTTAATTTAGGGAATTAAGAAGGTGACAAAGATGCTCAGAAACCACCCAAGAGTCAGTAAGGACACTCAGAGTTTAACAACACTGGGAAGCCTCTGTTACCCCCTATTCTAGAAGGAGGTGGTTTTCCAGAGCCAGGATCACTGGCAGAATCTAGAAGCACAGAAGAGGCGTTCAACAAGAGACAGGAACATAGAAGTAATGGAGCTGTTGCTAGAAATGCAACCTCAAGTCCAGAGGGCCTAAAACTACTCTGCCTTCTCTCTCTCTCCCATCCTCCAATTTCCCATCACCCTCTCCTATTGACAAAACCCACCCTGCATCCTGGAGCCTGGTTTTGCCAAACACATGTTATGTACCTTCTCAGATTCTCAGCCTCAGCTTCACACATCTCTCGGGGTGTTAACCCCTGGGCTTGCACGGTTGCCCCTGCAATGATCACCTACAGGTAAGGCTATGTGTTTCCCCCGTCTGAAGTCAACAACTGAACAGTCAGGCTCTAAATACCATTTCCAAACTCTGAGAAGCACCACACCACAGGAGATGAGATGGGGATTCACTAGCAGCTGTACACACTACAAGGGCAGGTTACTTGTTTACTCTAGGCATGAACTCTAACTAATGAGAGACAAAAGATGGAAAGGAATTGGCACATGGATTACCTCTCCACTCCTCCCTTCCATGGCCTGCTTACACCTAGGATGTTTCTGTGCAGCCACATTCCCCATGGTCAAGTGACAGCTTCGTTGCTTCATGGAGCTGTGCCCGCTCAGTTATGTGTCACCTTGTACTTGTTTCCTGTCCTCTCTCACCCCACTGCTCTTTTCCCTAATTTCCACTGCCCTGGAAAGCATTGATAGCACTGAAGGTTTGCCCTCAGGCTTTGTTTTAAGACACAGGGAAATGCAGCCTGGAGGGGTTAGCTGCCCTGCCAGGCAAAGTTGAGGAGGGGAAGAGCAAAGAATAGATCTGAATACAAACAGACCCAGAAGCTATTGTCATATCCTTATATTCTTATTTAAATCTTATTTAACAGCTTCAAGCTTCCACCTAGAATGAGGCCACCATCTGCTATGCCAAGAAAGAGGCTCTCATGCTCTCCTCAATAAGAAGAGACACAGAGCCCCATCAGGCATTGCATCCGCCTCAAACACTGGCCCTCCAAATGATACGGAATCTTCCCCTCAGCTCTAGATGTGGCCCCTCATAATCTGGAAATCTGCCTGCCATTGATAAATTCTATTAACACTTCCCATACAAAATGGCAATGGAAAAGGAAGAAGAAAAAAATATATAATCACTTATCACACAGACATAATAAAAACAGTTTCCAATATCCTCTTTCCCGTGAAGTTCAGGAAGCCATAGTTGACGTTATCACTTTCTCCTCCCACCACTCATTCATTTGCTCTAATGCCTCAACTAGTTGGGATTCTTTATCTAGTGTAATGACCCCTCCTACCTGTTCCTCTCCTACTTTACATACAAGTTTTATTTAATTAGACTGTCTCCATTATGTCCTCCTTTGCCTTGGAGTCTCTGGACTATTGTACTATTAAAAAACCACCTGATAACTAATCCTGCAATACAGTAGCTATCCGGGCAGGTGTGGGAGGATCTCTCATTGTGATTTTGATTTGCATTTCCCTGGTGATTAGTTGTGTTGAACATCTTTTCACTTATCATTTGGTCATTTGTATGTTTTCTTGGGAGAAGTGTCTGCTCAGGTCTTTTGTCTATTTTTAATCTTTCAAAGAACCAGCTCCTAGTTTCGTTGATCTGTTCTACTGTTCTTTTGGTTTCTATTTCGTTGATTTCTGCTCTGATCTTTATTATTTCTCTTCTCCTGCTGGGTTTAGGCTTTATTTGCTGTTCTGTCTCCACCTCCTTTAGGTGTAGGGTTAGG